ACTTTATTCTAAAGACACCTGAAGAGCTCTCAAGAGTGACAGATCCATATTTGTGTTTCCAGACTGCTATAGCTTTAGCATAAGAGAGGGATCAGAGGGGGAAAGACTGGAGACAAGGATGCAATTAGGAAGATGTGTAGGAATCTAGGTGGGTATTCAGAAAGCACAGGGAGAGCCAGGGCAGGAGGAGGGAGCAGGGAGGCATTTGTTTCTGCAGAGTTAGTCTTTGTATCTGTGAAGTCACTCCGACTAGGTCATATGAAATGCTGGAGACACACCTAGGCCTGGGCCTAGATGCCGTCAGTGCTGACACACAGACACATTTCTCTCATAGCCTTACAAAACCATCCAACTGTATTCGCTTCACAAGGCTTAGAAAGAATGTCACAATAACTGACAATAGTTGCTTCTCAAGGGAGTCTACAAGAAGACTGTAAGAAATACAGCTCTCCAAAAGTCAAGATTCAGTTCTGGAGAGATCTGGGACCTCTGGTGGCCAACTTGGGCCTGCGTTACGCCTCCCACTTGAACTGTAAGTCCTTGATGGCAGGTAGGTAGAATGGTAGGCACCCCACCATTCTCAGCCTGTTTCTTCACCAGTAAAACTACCACAGTAACACTGATTACACACACACGGCTGTGAAGATAGAGGAAATACTGAATCTTAATTAATAGGCCTAAAAATACTTGGCACATAGTAAGTACTCAGAAAGTGTTAGCCCCTACCTTTCCAGTAGGCTATAGGGGTAGTACTATTTAGTTTTATGTGTTAAAGTAAATTATAATTATCAGTTCTGTATCCAACTTTCTTATTTGATGACGAACTATGAGAGTGACCACTCTAATAGTGGCCTGGCCCAGTGTAATCACTCAGCAAAATGTCTGTAATATGATAAAAGAGTGAACGAAGGGAAGGATGAAATCCCTCTGTCTGTAACCTGCACCGTGCTGTGCACACTGTGAGCTATTCATATACCCACTCACGGCAGGATGATTTCCAGAGGGGACTTCGGACACTAGCCCCAGGCTGAGCAACCTTGGCAATAAGGAAGGAGGCAGATGGGCACTCACAGTGCACAAATCCTAAAATCCCAAGAGCACTTTAGCAACTTGCTACATTATGACCCTGTGACTCAAGTTTCTAAGTTCAAATTCTGGGTCCAAACAATTCCAAGGAAACTCCTCATCTAAGCCCAATTGTCCCAGAAAGCCAATGCCAAATACTGGGGGCAGCTCAGGACCTAGTCTTAGCCTCCCTCATCAATGCCTCCCCTAATAAAACTGGCTTCCAGTGAGACAGAGAAGAGCACTCAGAGGGGATGGCCAAGGTCCAGTTGGAAAGAAGTTTGAGCATCTGGATGCAGCAACTGTCCGCTGTCAGTGTTCTGTGGAAAAAGTCTGGGCAAAAAGCAATGTTTTTTTGCATGACTATTCTGAACAGAGTATTGGCAAGCACAAAACACTCCTTGATGGGTGCTTAGTGATGATGCTAAAATCAGTCATCCATGGGAAGGGAGCATGTGCCTTTCTAAGAAGTAAATACCATGGCACAAGCTTAAAATGAGTGAAAGTGAGGCGCATTCTCAGTCAGAAGAAACTGCAAGGTCTCCACAGCCAGGGAAGAACCTCTCCTATTTATTTCTCCATCCCGAAAATAACCAGATAAAGACTGCTTTCAAGCATCAGTCTATCTGCATACTTGGAAAGAAGGATTTACATTTTAATGGAAGATCTGTATTCACCTGTAAAAATGTGAAAAGATACTTTTAGCAAATTTATAGTTCATATATGTTTCATTTCTTTCTCTTTCCTTTTTCTTCTTCTTCCCCTTCCTTTATATCCCTCTTCTTTTCTTTTCTCCTTTCCCTTCTTTTCTGCTTTCAGCAGTGTATTTGTGATGGGGTCCAGGACAAGGTGCTCCCAGAGCAGACACATTCACATGTGGATTAGTAGAAAAGACGTGTGTGTGAAACACAGCATTAAGAAAGACTCAACTTTCTCTTACCATGTCTCATATGACAACAATGTGTTTTAAAAACCAGAGATCAGAATTTATGAGAGAACAAACTAGAATTAGTAAATGGTAAGGAAAGATGAGAGGACATGTAAAAGAACCATATAAACAGGCCATGGACGGTGGGTGAGGAATCCCCCCAGGCTGCACTTGCTACCCTGAGTTTTGGTCTCTGATCTGTAAAGTACAGATCAGAACTGTGTCTATTCTCATAAGAATTTTGAGAGGATTAAATGAGATAATATATAAAATGTTCATGGTATTGAAACTGGGAAGTAAGTCTTGAAGATAACAGTAGGCATTGTGAAGATTATGAATATTATTCAAGCTTTAATAAGATTGTGTAAATCTTTTTCACAGAGAAAATACTCTCTCAGCTGCAATTCTTAATATAATTATCATTATATTATTCTCTTTATTTTATGGGGGCTTCTTTCTCCTTGCTTGGTCCCTTTAGACCGATGGTTTATTGGTCATGTGCTTTGCTCTTGATTCGGGTTTTACCTCGTTACTCTATCTGTTTGATTTCCTAAGCTTTCCTTTTCAGGAACCCACGGGTCAATCATGCCCCATGCCTACATCCAATGGATATGTAGAATTGCCCAAAGCAGACCCTCAAAGCAGTTTGACTAGTTGATGGTGCACAACTAACAGACAAAGGTGAGAAACTCCCAAAACATCTGTCAAAAACCACAGTGAAATATTCCGAAAATTTTTCAGCCATGGCAAAATGGAGCCCTCATTTTTAATTTCAATGTAGGCTCATGAAATAGGCATAACCAACACTCATCCACAAAGGTATGTCACAATGTTTGGGTTAAGATGCCTTATATTCATGGCACTAGAGGAAACTTTGAACCACATCCTGGGGAAAGCATTTCTAATTGATACAGATGCCTGATTCGCACGCTAATTCTCTGAAAGCCTCCTGATGGACAGGTTCTTGGACAAGGTATCCAACACAATGAACTGGCTTACTGGATCTTTATCTTTATTTTAAACAGCTTCTGGATTACATCATCTATGAGTCTTGGGTCACTGAAGGGTGATTATACCATGATGTGAGGTTGAACGGGCTGTGTTTCAGTAAAGAGTTTTCATTCAATGTGCCACAGAAAGAAAGGAAAGAGTATTGAACTTAAGTGTTGTATCAATACATGGAAGTAGTTTAAACAGGAGAAGGGAAGTGGGCTCTGGTCCCTCTGAGATGTAGGCATGCAATATGTCTTCCTTCTCAACTTTTCTAGTGCTGGTTATTAAGCCCGTTCAGATATTATTTATTTCATACTCACTGGGCCTCCTCATCAGAGTATGAATACCATAAAACCAGGGACTGATGATGTCTGATTCATTTAATTCATTTCTGTAGGCTGGCACAAGAGCTAGGGCACAGAACATGCTCTTTGAATGCCATCTACCTACCTACACTTCCATCTACTTGAGAAAGAACTCGGAGCAGTTCTGTATAAAATAAGAAATGGAAACTTGCAGTTATGTGCATGCACATCCATCTTTGGATCAGATGACTCTTTAATTTGGCTGAACATTTAGAAGAGCTGGTAGGAATTCAAGCACAAACAGCTATTTTCAATATAACATCACAGTCAACGTGAGGTTGAGTAATGAGCCTAGGCCTTCGTCTCCCCTGCACTCCACATCAGTCTCTCAGAGTGAGAATTCTAGTTTGAGAAAATGGCAGTGTTACTCCCCAGCCCAGACCCTTCAGTGGTCCCCCCCACAGCCCAATCTCTAGACCTCAGTTCTCAGTCAGCATTGCCACTTCCCTTGGCTAAGCCACTGTGGCTTGTCATCAGGGGACTAACTTGCTACAATTGGTCCCTCTGACTGTGGCCATGTATCCTCAGGCTTTCTTCCTCCTGGCTGCTGTTCTTTAAAACTAAGATGTGAATGTGACCATGGACTCTTCCAAACTTTCACTGGCTCCCCTTGGTTTTCTAGTTGAAGTTCAACTCCTTATCACGCTCTGTGAGAACTTCCTAAGATCTGGTCCCTGTCCTACTCTCTAACTTTTCTTCTCAGCTGTTCTTCCAAGAAAATTCTTGATTATTTGTAATTCCCATCAAATAAATCTTAATAGTTTTCACTTCTATGTCTTTCTTCCCATACAAAGTTCTCATGTCTAGAAGACTATCCCTTCTTTGTCTGATTTGTCCCTGTTTATCTTTTAAGGTTCAGGACAAATGACTTCCTCTCTGCAAAGAGTTACCTAATGGAGCTTTGTGGCAGCTCTGCACCATGTACCTCTGTTGCTGTGCTCATCCCACTTTTATGGATCTGCTGTCTCTCCAATTAGACAATCTGAGTAGTTCAACAGCATTTCATAGAGTGCCTGCCCTGAGCTATGCACTGAGCTGCATAGAAAGAGAAGTACAGTATGGCTCTTATCTTTAAGGAGTTCATAATGTTCTGGAAAAGACAGAATGAAAGAGTGTAGTGAGAGCCAGAGCTATGAAGGGGCAAGTAATGTTTTCAAGGTGTAAATACCCCCTCACCCCCACCCAGGCAGACAAAGACACATGTAGAATGACAGGAGCCAAGGAGCAGCTGTGAGTAGGGCCACCTCAGATGTCAGGAGCATGTGTGGGTCTGGAAGGGACAGACACAACAGGTTCAATGTGCCTAGATAATTATCTGAACAATGTCCCAAGGGCTATGGGAGAACCACTGAACGGTCTGGGCTGGGGAGTACCAGCGTCATTCTCACAAGGTAGAGTATCACTCTCTCTGCCATGAGAAAAATGGATGGGTGTAGGAAAGATCAGGTGAGATGGAAGAACAGTCAGCGCTGCCTGGAGGGACATTTATTCCTGCAGCAAACACAGGCTACACTTCCCCCGTATGGTAGGCCGTGTGCTAAGACTTAACTCTGACCCAGGCATCTGCAAATCTTCCAGATACTATGGCAGAATGGTCTATTCAATGGCATAAAACCACTCATGACCTTACTGACAAAGTGTCAACTTACCAATTTTCCAGTAATGCTCTGACCACCTTCATTCAGCCAGAAACCAGGCACCATGGCTGAAAAATAAGGCCCCCAGACGCCTGGCACAAAAATCGGGTCTTTGCTGATCTGAAAAGAGAGAGATAAAGTATGTGAAAACATTGACCCTCGGGGCTAGAGGAGCCTTATCTACTCCCACAGGATGCTTCTATGCCTAAGGAATTCAGTTTCTTATGGAATACCTTTCACAGTGGAGAAATCACTCTCTCCCAAGAAAGGCCACAGGAGCTTTTTTGAAAACCTTTATGATAGATTTAATGTCAAAGTAGCAAAAGTGATCATTTTAAAAAGAAAATGATTAAGACATTTCCTTGTTAGATTCCTGTCTATCGCAGAGATTGTAAATATGGTCCCCTCAAAAGGTTCCCTGCCCTTCACTTATCCACACCTTTTGCAAGAAGACTGCAGCTCCCACATTGAGAGGTGGTTCTATCTCCCTACTCCTTGAATCTGGGCCAGTCTCATAACTTGTTTTACCAAGAGAATGAGGCTAAAGTGACACTGGGCCAGCTCTCCAAGCCTAGGTCTCAAGAGGGCTGTGTGCCTCTATTCTTCCTCTTACTCCTTTACCTTGGCCATGGGAACATTCTCAGGCCAGGCTCTTGTTGACAGGATGTGTGCAGCAGAGCTGGGTCAGCTCAGTTGTTCCAGGTGATGTCCCAGAAACCTGAGTGAGCCCAGGAAAGACCAGGAAATCCTCCCAGGTGACCAGCAGCTCACTAGCCAGGATCATCAGCATTCCCTGGCCAACCAGTAGTCTTGAGCACAAATAAACATCTACTGTTGCATGTCATGGAGGTTTTGTGTTTATTACATAGCATTTTGAGCCAACAATAAAAGGTATATATTTCTTTCCTAGCTAGTTGCCAAACATTCACTAGCTATCTAACAGCAGGCCCTCCCTCTACTGGGTGCTGGGGACACAAAGATGGCTGAGACAGAGTTCCTACCTTTAAGAAGCTCCCGTGGAGGAGCTATACAAGGAAACAGGCAAAGAATATAGTGTGGTCCATGGGTGGTAAACAAAATATAGAAGGTGGCTGGGCGTGGGAATGGAGAGTGTGCTAAAAAACATGTGAGTATAAAAATAGAGGCCACAGTTTAGATTTATAACCCAAGGCCAAATGCCCATAACCAAGTAGCCAAAACTTAAGTCATCCTGATTTCCCTGAATCATAAAGTCGAAACATCCTAAGTTTTACATCCTTGTCAACAAGATTTAGTGAAATTAAAACATAAGCTTTATGTCCTGGTCAGCATGATTCAGTGAAATTTAACCAATCAGCTGTAGACAAATCAGTTTAAATAGTTCTGTTTGCCCTTTAAAAAATGCTAATGTGTAACAGCCAATCACAGAAAAGGTCAAAGTACTTTCTCCTTTATGCTTTCTGAACTGTGCTGTACTTGCCATAAGGTGAGCTTCTTGCCACTTGGTTTAAACTCTTGCAATCTATAATTTTTATACTTTTATATTTTCCTTAACTTGTTCTGATTTTACTTGTGACAAATGGCTTCTAAAAGAAAGGGACCTTAGCTTAGTTAGAAAAGACCAGTAGGATTTAGCTAGAGAAATAGAATAAGCATCCCAGGTGGAGTAAAGAACTTGGACAGAGCCAGGAGGGTGAGAATCAAGTTGAGTGATCAAGATACTGCAATTTTTTATTTTTATTTATTTATTTTTATAGCAGACCATGGCAGTTCCTTTAAGTGTAAGGAAGGTGTACAAAGAGGTGACCCAGAACATTTAGGGGTAGACCATGTGTTCACACAACTGCACTGATACGTCCTTCCCATCCACCCATCAGAAACAGATGCCGAGGTCATATTTATGGTTGTGGAAAAGGTTAGCTAGAGGGTGAGAAGGAAAAGGGAGTTGAGCATACAGGGTCTACTCCTCCAGAACTTGAGGCTGGGCAGGGAATCGATTCATTTTCAACAAATATTTACTATATGCTGGTACTTGGTCTAAATTCCAGGGATGTAGACATAAACTAAATATCTATAATTTCTGGCTTCATGAACTTTAGCATTTTAGAATGGGGATAGATTTTCTTTGATCGTCTTGACCTCAACTATTCTGGTTCCCTTTTCACTAAACCAGCGATTCCTCAAATCAGTAGCGTTTCCAACCCCAAAAGGGAAGGGGATAAAGGGAGGCAAAAGCTAAAAAACCCTACAAAACATCCTCAACTCTATAAACTTTCTCAAATTAGGCCACTATGAAAAAGAGACATGTAACACCTAAAATAGGAGGAATAATCTCAGGGAAAAATAGACTTCTGCAAGGAAAGACAGTTGGGTTTACACTGGCATAGTCATTCATTTGCTGACTGGCTCAAGAAGTGTTTCTTGAGTTCCTACCAAGATGCAGGTGTGAGCCACACACACAGAGGTAATTAGCAAACACAAAAGCACAGTCTCTGCCCTCAGGAAACATCCTATCTCGAGAGGGACACAGACAGAGACACAGACCAGGGTGAACAGTTCTGCAGGTTTGGCCAAGACTCTTCCAGTCTTAGAACTGAAACTCTCTGTTCTGGAAAATCTCTCCGCCCAAGCCAAATTGTGGCAATTGGTTACCCTAAGAGAAACTCAATCAAATAATTACACAAATGTGTACTTACAAACTATGAGAAATGAGTGAAGGGAGGCCAACCAGTATTAGGAGAATGCACAAGTGAGGTATCTTATTTAGTCTAGGGGTCAGGGAAGGCTTCCCTGATGAAGGGATATGTGCATTAAGATATAAAAATGCATAGAAATTATTCAGGTGGGTCAGTATGAGAGAGAGATAGAACACAGTACAGAGTACAGAGACTGGCCTGGCCACAAGGACACATACTAACTGTACTTATCTTTGTCATTCTGCCTTTCTTTACCCAGTGAAAATTTTATCAAGTGCTGACCCCAGAAACTACTGCCCTAAATTGCATCCCAGAGCTTCTCTGGGGTGAATAAGGTAGTTCATGTTCATTAACCACTTAGGACTAGGGCTTGGACAGGTAGAGAGGAAGCCGAATCACTTGGGACAGGTAGACGGGAAGCCGAATCACTTGGACAGGTAGACGGGAAGCTGGATCACTTGGGAAAGATAGACGGGAAGCTGGATCACTTGGACAGGTAGACGGGAAGCTGGATCACTTGGACAGGTAGACGGGAAGCTGGATCACTTGGGACAGGTAGACGGGAAGCCGAATCACTCGGACAGGTAGATGGGAAGCTGGATCACTTGGATAGCTAGACAGGAAGCTGGATCACTTGGATAGCTAGACAGGAAGCTGGATCACTTGGACAGGTAGACAGGAAGCTGGATCACTCGGACAGGTAGAGAGGAAGCCAAATCACTTGGACAGGCAGACCGGAAGCTGGATCACTTGGATAGGTAGACGGGAAGCTGGATCACTTGGGACACACAGATGGGAAGCTGGATCACTCGGACAGGTAGACGGGAAGCCGGATCACTCGGACAGGTAGACGGGAAGC